CATGCTCATTAAAGCTACTCTTTCTGCACATGTATGTATTTCTAAAACTATCTCCATATGCAAGCCAAAAGTGGAAAAGAGCCATTATCAACTGAGCTTATATGTACAGCTCTAAGAAAACATTTAAATTAATGATCCTGTATGGAAATTACATTAGCCTATACATAATGGATGCTATGGCCATTGCATTGGCTAACGATAGACCTATTCTCCAGTAATAAATCTAATATCTTCCTGGATTTATATCAATTAGTGGCAATGGCCAGATCTTTAGAACTAAATTCTGAAAATGAATGTCAGGGAAACTGTTTTACTGTATTGGCCTCAAGTATTGTCTTGCCATTTTAGAGACTCTCTTGTTTCTAATCATTTAGGGGGGAAATTGAGGAATTCCATCCAATTTCTGATACTTAATTTCCTTTTCTTTTTTTAAAAAAAATACCTTTTAAGCTTTTCTTTTTAATAAATTAGTCTAATACTATCACCATTTTGGGTTCTCAACCCTATAACATACTTTTTTTTAGGAATAACTATCAAACTTCCCAAATGTGGTTGCACTATTTACTTTTAATTTCAGTGGCTGCTGACTGTGACAATATTGGGGTTGGTGGACTCTAACACATCTGGAAGACACCAAATTGGGGAAGGTGCTATGAATACAGTGTTTTAAATACAGTGTGCCAAGTTTAATAATTTTGTGAGATATACAAGAAAAAATTGAGCAACCTAATAGTCAAATACTATATATTTTTGCTTCTTTTCACCTCCATTACAATCTTATAACTTTCATTTTATCTAATATATTCTTGATATATAGACTACCCTGGGAGAAATATTTTCTTGAATTCAGGAAAAAAGAATCCACTTAGAAGGAGCCCTTACTGTCAAATAAGGTAAGTTAGTTCTTTGAGATGGTTGAGTGTAGCCATCTTGAAGAGTTCAAAGGGTGGGTCTTTTTTCCCATTGTTGATAATGCTTTGAAAGACAGTTTTTTTCATGATGATCCATCACCCTCTAGGTCACTAGGGTAGGACAATTCTGGTGGGCAATTCAGATCCAAGGGGCACAACTCTATTAAGAACTTCTCTGTGGCAGTAAATGGGATCTGAACAGGAACAGCTAATAACTGTATTTATTTGTTTCCCATTCCATTTCTGAGATGGCAGATTCTGGAGTAAGGAAGATTAACAATGTAGAAGACCTGAAAGTTCTGATCCATGAAGTACAAAATGATGTACAAATCCAGGTGAACAGGATTGGAATGGAAGCAACACATTTCAGTTCAGTTCAATTAAGACTCTGCAAAATATTTTCCCAGGATGGGAGAGAATATGCTTCATATTAACCAGTTATGATTGGTGGGGCAGAACGTGTTCCTTTTGTTACCAAATGAAAACAAGAGAGGAACACAAGTGCACATCCCCTCAGTGGCCAAATCCCAGTTCTTTTCAAAAAAATAAAACCAATGGTTTTTTTAAAATACCAAATTGGAAGGAAGGTTATTCCAAGTAGAAGATGGTAGGCCCTTTTCTACCATAGGTGAGCTGTGACCAGAGCATATGATAGGCTATGGGGTTAATTTTATTTTTTTTAAAAAAAATGTCTTTCATCCATTCTTTCAAGGAATATTACAACCAGTTACATCAAGATATCTTCCGCTATCTAGTATTTCTCTAACCGCTGCTCCACCCCACCCCTATGTCCGCAAATTCTATTGTTCCCACCTCCCTTTGCTATTTTCTTTTTCCCTAGTCTCTTTCATCTTGTAGATCCCAGTCAGTGTGACAACTGGGTTAGGTCTTTCTTTCTTTCTTTCTTTCTTTCTTTCTTTCTTTCTTTCTTTCTTTCTTTCTTTCTTTCTTTCTTTCTTTCTTTCTNTCTCTCTCTCTCTCTCTCTCTCTCTCTCTCTCTCTCTCTCTCTCTCTCTCTCTCTCTCTCTCTCTCTCTCTCTCTCTCTCTCTCTCTCTCTCTCTCTCTCTCTCTCTTTCAAGAATAGGGAGTGACAGATGGTGGTCTCGCTTTCCCCAGAGAGCAAGATCTCCCTACACGCGAGCGCATGTCAATCTCCGCAGCTCATGTGATAACTCCAGTGGATGACGTGCCAGCCATATGGTCTGGCATCAGAGTTGGTACCCCTCTGCCTGCTCGAAGCGTGCCACTTCCCTCCTCCTTTTGGATAAGACAGTGAAGGAGACGGGGTGGACCTCAAGGAGTCTTTTCCCCCCTTTCCTCCCCCCATTTTTTTCCCTCCGTACTCCCAAAAGATGCGGGGTCCGAGGACTTGAGGACTCCTCATTTCAGCTTTGGAGGTAAGTTATGTAAGGAAGGGGGGCTAGAAACTTAAATACTGGGTTGCCACTCTGGCCACTTTTTAAATCCCCCCCTCGAGTTCTTATCTTTCTCTTTTCTCCCCCGACGTTTGCACAACCTAATCGATTTGTGTCTTTGAAGAGGGATGCATGAAATGCAGGGTGGGAGTGGGATGGGGGGAAGAGGTGGGAAAGCTATCTCTGCGTAAGATGTATGTCTAGATTATAAAACCTCTGATGTAAAAAAGGCCGGTTTTGTATAAGAAGGAAGGTTATCTATCCATACAAAACCACTTGGGGGAAAAAAAGCAAAAGCAAACAATTTGGTAATAACATTATATATTTTAAAAGATGTGGGGGAGAAATGCACACACACATACAAACACTTGTACATACCTACCTACCTACCTACCGTGGAATCAGATCTCCAGCAATTACGGGTGCGAAAGGCTCCCTATCTTTTCTAATCTCATCTTGCAAGCGATTTATTCTAGCTTCGGGGTTTATCTGCGCCGGGGTTTGGTTCGTGGAGGTCTCTCGGTCTCTCTGTCTCTCTCTCCCTCTCTCTCCCCCCCCTCGTTGCTTCCCCGCTCCAAAGGCAACATAAAATGACTGCAAACACTCGCGCACAAAACTGGCACATGGACCCATCAGTTCTTTCGGCAGCTCAATCTTCTCCCAGGAAAATGGTCTCAGGTCTGGATGTGCGGGGGATAGGGGGGATGGAGGGGAGGAGGAGGAGGAGGAGGAGGAGGAGGAGGAGGGATGGATCGGGAAAGGAAAACCTGCCGAGATGCCACAATCTCGAGGGTCGCCCTGAGAAGGAGGATGAGAATGGGGACGATGCCATAGACAGAGAAGGAACATTTGAACCCTTTCTCCTCCTCCTCCCAGGGAGCACGGAAAGAACCCTCGGACGGGAAAACCAACGGGGGGGAGAGGGAAACAAAAAACCGGGGCACGACGGAGAAGTTATCCGGATTTTGGCAAGCAAGGGAGGGACGCGGTGTGAAGATTGCGGGGTCGGTGGGGTTTCAGCGCTGCGAAGTGTCTACCTTCAGAAATGTAATGCTTGTTTTAATTCTTCTTGGAAAGGAAAGGACCCAGGAAAAGCTAAGGCAAAAGATCCGGTTTTCTAAGCGGAGAAGGAGGCAGAAATTGGAGAGAAAAGTTCTAGGTTTAACTGGGCATTCCCGAGATCCCCGTCTGAAGGCTGTGCAAGCGAGAGCAGCAGTCTTGTGCTCTAACATGCCGGGATGCAGATGAGATGGGTTTAATGATTTTTAATTCCATTAAATCTGGTAAATTAATCAAAAGAGGGGAGCGAGGCTGAATAATGTGGCTCTGAGTTCCCGTAAAAAATGGAGAAAAATCCATTGTTTTTCGATACAATAAAAGGAAAGGGATCGTTTGTAATGAAGAGGGATAAGAGATATCAAGCTCAGCTTTGCACTAATTAAGCGGGAAAGCAATGTAGACATCAATTAATAATAAACACACTTTTTAAATGAGTCCATTGTTTTTAGGGAAAGAATGGGGGAAAACCCAATTTCAGGCAAGTTCTAAACAAATCTTTCTGCCCTCTCCCCCACCCCAGGTTCTGTCTTTGTATGCATGTGAGAAGGGTGTGTATATAAAGTATTGTGCATATGTACAATGTTTTTAAAAAAATGAAACGTGGAGGGAGTAACTAAGGCTGGCTGCCATTATGCAATGGTAATGCTGTTCGGGTCAGACGGAGGATAGGCAGGTTCAGGAGGCAGTTCACTAAAGAGGTTTAGACAAGCTTTAGAATAGTTCCATCCTGTGATTTGAAGGGTGGGATTCCCACATACACACCAACACACGCGCACACGCGCGTGCACATACACATAGAGGTTAGGCGAGAGACCTGGATAACAAGGAAGGCATTAGGCACAAGCTTTTGCAGAAAAAGCTGCGGTTTGTTAAGGAAACTCTCTCTCTGTGTCTATGCCTCTGTCTCTGTCTCTGTCTCTCTCTCTCTCTCTCTCTCTGTCTCTCTCTGTCTCTCTCTCTCTCTCTCTCTCTCTGTGTGTGTGTGTGTGTGTGTGTGTGTGTGTGTGTGTATGAGAGAGAGACAGAGAGAATCAACTGCAGAAGGGTAATGATAATCAACTTATAGTTTGAAATCAGACCATAATAATACCATAACTCCATTTCAGCTGGAAACAGGTTGAGATTTGAGCAAGAGGTGGATGTCTGAAGACAGCCTTCTCTCTCTCTCTCTCTCTCTCTCTCTCTCTCTCTCTCTCTCTCTCTCTCTCTCTCTCTCTCTCTCTCTCCCCTCCCTCCCTCTCTCTCTGCCCCTCCCTCCCTCCCTCCCTCTCCTTCCAAATCACTTTAAGGATCGGGCGACCAGGCTGGCAGCAAAGATTGGGTGAAGGGAGGGCCCTCTACATCTTGGCCAGAAAGCTTGAAATCTGTTTAGGAGAGGAGCTGACAGCTTTCCCAGCAATTGGCTGGAAAAGGCTGAGCGACCAACTATCCGTGGGTTGAGATAATCTTCCAGGGGTCCAGGGTAATTGATTGGTGGGTGTTAAGTGGTGGATGTTAAGACCAACTTGTGTGACTATTTCTCGTTGCCATTCTTCCCTTCTTTCTGGCCGGCTCAATCCGTGCGCCTTTCTCCTCCCTCCTTTCTTCCCCGCCCCCGTCACCCCTCCAGCCACCATGTTGACGCGTCTCTTCAGCGAACCCAGCTTGATCCCAGAAGTTCAGAAATTCTCCAGCTGGGCGGACGATTGTGAAGAGGATGATTCGAGCGACAAAGAGGAGCGGAAAAGCAAAAGCTGCCCTCTTCAGGAGGACCCGAACGACTCGGAGGTAAAAGAGGAGAACGACCTGGGTGCCGATGAAGAGGAGGAGGAGGAGGAGGAGGAAGGCATCGAGGAAGCGGAAGGCGATCGGCCTAAGAAACGAGGCCCCAAAAAAAGGAAAATGACCAAGGCTAGGCTGGAGCGCTCCAAGCTGCGACGCCAAAAGGCCAACGCCCGGGAACGCAATCGGATGCACGACCTTAACGCCGCCTTGGACAATCTCCGCAAGGTCGTGCCTTGTTACTCCAAAACGCAGAAATTGTCCAAGATCGAAACCTTGCGCTTGGCCAAGAATTACATCTGGGCCCTGTCGGAGATCCTGCGCTCGGGCAAGAGGCCAGACCTGGTCTCCTATGTGCAGACTTTGTGCAAAGGTTTGTCCCAGCCGACCACTAACTTAGTGGCCGGCTGCCTCCAGCTCAACTCAAGGAATTTCCTTACTGAGCAAGGCCAGGAGGCGGGGAGATACCACGGGCCCAACTCCACCTTTGCCATGCATCCCTATACCTACCAGTGCTCGCGGATCTCCAGCGCGCAGTGCGCTTCCAGCACCATGGCTAGCTCCCACGCCTTGCGGACGCATGCTTACTGCGCCACCTACGAGTCCCTCTATGGGAATGCCTCGCCAGATTACAATAGCTCGGAATACGATGGGCCTCTGAGCCCTCCTTTGTGCGTGAATGGGAATTTTTCCCTCAAGCAGGATTCTTCCCCCGACCACGAGAAAAATTACCATTATTCTATGCATTACTCCGCCCTCCCCAGTTCTCGCCCTTCCGGGCACAATTTAGTGTTCGGATCTTCGGGAATGCGCAGTGGCGTCCACTCTGAGAATGTTTTGCCTTACGACATGCACCTCCATCACGACCGAGGTCCGATGTACGAGGAGCTCAATGCTTTTTTCCATAACTAGTCCCTTTCCCCCTGTTCCCAGAGGCGCCTTGGGCGTCGCGTTCTCCTACCGGTTCCACGGGTAACCGTGACCACTTGTAGATTTCCAGTTTATTGGACTGGGAAAGGGAGGGGGTATTTGGGTGATTAAAAACTAAACAGAAAGAGAGAATGAGAGAGGACGGGAGGGGGGGAAGAGAGAGAGAGATAAATAGTTCCTCGGCCTTCTCTGATATTCCCCTGTACTTGGTCCCGAGGGCTGCAATTTTTTTTAAACTGTGAACCACTTTTCTCGTAACATATTAACAAAATATCGAAGGGCGGGAGGATAAAATAATAATCATTCCTATTCGTGAACTAATTGAGCCGGACGTTCTTGTTTTGAAGCTGGAGGGGGGGGGGTAACCTGATCCAACAGCCTCTTGAGCTGAGGCAGCGGGTTTCAATCCTTCCCAATCCCGTTGAATTCAACGGGTCGCATTTGATTTTCAGCCGCTGGCTTCGATTTAAATGGAAAGTCGGTGGAGTTTTTTTTTCGCACCTTGGTTTCCGCGGTACTCCAACCCCGATTGGGAATCAGATTATAAATAGAATCTGCGACTTCCCTGCCCCCACTAAGTACTATGAAAAAAAAATCTGGTGCAATATATATATGCTAGCATAATTTTATATTTAAAAACAAACGAAAGGACTCTATAGCTAATAGACTGTTTAGTTGAGATTTTGCCCATCCGAAAACAAGACCAAGATTATTAGATCCAGATTATTAGGAGAGACTATTACATTTTTCAAAATTAAAGAGGAAGGGAGTATCAAAGTTTTATCCCATCCTAATGGATTGCCTATGCTAAATTATGCCTTATGGATTAACTGAAATTTTCCTAAAGTTCAATATGGCTTTAGAACAAAACAGTTTGTAAAGGGCAGGTGATGGGAGGAATATTTCCATCCTCCCAGTAGCTGAATCAAAAATTCCCCGAAAAAGGTACCTATGCCATTTGCAATCCTTTACATATTTATCTGGGAGATAGTCTTATTAAGCTTAATGGGGCTTACTTCAGTGTAAATATGTCTCAGCTTGCACAAATTAAGGTATTAACATATTTGCAAACTTTAAATCAAACTTTCAATGCAGTGAGAACTTGAAAAAGCAATAAACGGGCAAACAGATGAAAAATATATTCTATCTCTATCTATGCAAGTAGGTATTGAAACTAGAAAAAGAAACAAAAGAAAGGGAAAGAGGAAAGAAAGAAAAACAACAAAAAGAATCCATATGAAATATTAGAAATATGGACCAACAAACTCGCTGAGATTTAAAATTGTGCACTTTTTGATTTGGGGGAAACGGACTGTGGAAAGTTTCCCTGATATTTAACAATCACTGACTTTTTGAACCACCCTTGTAACCCCACGTAACTTATTTTCCAAAATTTGTGTGTCATGCTGTTTTTTTTTTTACCTGTTTTAAAAATGTTAAAGAAAAATGTGGGGGGGGGAGATTTTTATGAAATGGCAAAATGTTTTGTTATGCATGGATAGGTTGGGGAAACGCAAATATGCAACTTTTAAAGGTGATGTGAAGAGAATACTATTATGCTTAATATTTCTGTTGGCTTATTCCGCCCCCCCTTAATAGTAACTTACATTCTTTCTTTCTGTGATGGGTTTGGGGAGGGAAGCATATGTTTATGTAATGATACACTAGTATATAAATCTCTCTATAAAAAAACGAAAAAACAGTAACTTCTAAGGACTCAGAAGAGTATATTTTCCCCCAATACAGTACTATTTTGTTTTTTTGTTCATCTGATGACTTTATTTGAGCAAAAGGAGGATGAAAAAATACCTCTAGTTTTCCCCTTCTTTTAATATGACCTCCATCACCTTTAGACATACCAGCATTTTTAAAATTCAAAGAACTTACATTTCTGAACAAAGTTTTTAAAATAAAACAACAAAAATCAACAACATTTTACAGAAAAAGAAAACTAACAGAGAGAGAGAGAGAGGGAGAGGAAGAAACAGTTGTAGACAATATGAAATGTCTATGGGACACCAGAAGTGCTTTTTTGTGTGTTTCTGTTCAGTTTCCTTAAGATGAATAAATATTTACGTCAAATGATATGCTAAACAAAAAAATCTCAAAGTCTTATTTTAAGTAAGGACTAGTTTATTATCTGTCTGTCTGTCTGTCTGTCTATGATATATCCATCCATCTTAATCCTGTCTAATTTAGTTTATGGCAGGGTATTCTGCATTTTAAAGAGAGAGAAAATTACAGCTCCTTTTAAACAAATAATACAGATCAAAAGGCAAAAAGGTTATGAATTGCAGACTTTCTCACCACTCTAACATGGGACAAAGTTTAGCTGTGAATTTCAGATTTTAAAAAAGGTACATGGTTGGTTAAAAAGAGGTGTGTGTGCGCGTGTGTGTGCGTGCATGTGCGTGTGTGTGTGTGTGTAAAATTCTGAAATACAGTGGTGTGTTTTAAACATTAATTTGCTACTTTTTCCTGAAATGATTCCTAACATTTTTGATGCAAGCCAGCTATGATCTTATTCAGTGAATTGAAGCAGCATCTTAAGAAGACAATTAATAAATAATAGATGTTGATTTGATTCCCTCAGTATTAGCTTACTTCAAAGAAATAATGCTAAGTGTATATATGGGCAAAAGATATAATTCTTTCATTATGGCCAAACATGTTTCCGAAGAAGGACTTAGACAACCTCTGATTCCCAAGGTGACTCAAGACATTAAAATAACAAATAAAAGTGTGTTTTATGTGTTCAGAAAGAGACAAAGATAGTGACAAATTCAAATATGTTTTAAGCAGCCCTTCTGAAGACTTATTATCAAATAGTTTGATAACAGGTGTTCATAAGAACTGCTTAAAATATATTCACATTTCTTCACTATCTTTGTCTCTTTCTGAACACCTAAAGTATACTTTTTGTGTGCACTGGAGTGGGGAGGAAGCCTACTTCTCATTTTATAAAGACTAATGCAGTTTCCTCCTCCTGGACAGATGGCATTTTCCCTGTATCCCCCTCCCTGTGTGCACACACACAGGCATGCACGCGCGCGCATGGACCCACACACACCACAAACACAAAGCATGTATCACTTCCCTCTCTGTTTCTTCTCTCACACACAAACACCCATAACACATAGCCAGCCACACCCGCTCTATCCTACTTTCTTTGTGGTCATTTAAGTAAAGAGAAATTCAAGGACAAGTGCAAATGATGTGTTATCTTTCCAAGCAAGCAAATCATATCTGGCAACTAAACATTGATAAATAATAAATCTTTGACCGTCCATAAGGTTTCTTTTTCATTTATTAAGGAAGCTACTGTAATCCAATAAGGAGCTGTCCCAAGTGTGTAGGGTGCTAAACCAAAAGCTCTGGGAAAACTGCCCTTGATCTATAAGAGCGCATTTCTCTCTCTCAGGAATTCTTGGAGCTGGTTAGCATTCTTATCTGATATTCAAAAGCTGCATATAGAGATAGGAGAGATTTTGCCCACAGAGCCAAAAGTTAGACCAGCAGGCAAGAGTTATGTCCCAATAAAAATTCTAACAGAGACAAGCACCTATGTTTTACTTCTGGTGGGTTTCCGCAGGATCCTGGCCAGTTATCAGTGAGTATCTTATGAAACAGTTGTTTGAAATGGGGGAAGACAGAAATCAGATTAATCGTACAGGGACAACACTCACTCACTCCAAAGATTCGCCCTTCTTTAGACAACCCAGCCCTAACCCACTCAAAGCCTAGTTTATCTCACGGAGCTCTGATATAAAAACTGAATAGTCTGAATAAAGACTATCTTGCCTGCCCCGTGATCTCCACTGTTTGCAGGACTATCCTCTTAAGGGAGCTGAAGATGCCATAGGAGGGAAGCTTTGTTTAAAAAAACAAACAAACCTTGACAATGCTGTATATTTCCTTGGGTTCCACAGAGCAGGTCAGATATTTCTGTCTCCTGCTGATAGGGGGTATTTGCTCACCTGTCTTTGGAAAGGCAATGGGGAAATGGGCAGTTGTAAGTAATTCTCTATTTATGACATGTACACGTATACAAACACACAAACACACACACACACTTTCTTTCCTTTTCTTCCCTCCTTTTGAGGATAAAAGAATAAATATAATTAATAAATATGCACTAGAAACCTTAAGCTCTTAAGCTTTTTAGTAACTTCTGTCTGAGAAGTTTCGTTGGCTACATTTTTCCTTATATCTCTCCCTTCCACCACCACCCTTCAGAGCTAGTTTGTCCTAGTGGTTAAAGCACCTGGCTAGACAGCAGGAGATTGTCCCACCTTAGCCATGAAAGTCAGCCTATCTCACCTCACAAGGTGGTTGCTGAGGAGAAAACAGCAGAAGGAAGATGTCTTGGATGTCTTCACTGTAAGGAAATAGATAGATAGATAGATAGATAGATAGATAGATAGATAGATAGATAGATAGATAGATAGATAGATAGATAGATAGGTAGGTAGGTAGGTAGGTAGGTAGGTAGGTAGGTAGGTAGATATTCTTCCTTTTCCCACCCTCCCCTTCTTCATTTTCATTCATTTTCTTCTCTTCTTCCTCTTCCTCCTCTTTTTCTTCATCTCTATTTATATGTAAGTGCCTTTCCTCTTTCTCTAATAAAAAATGATTTAATTAACAAACTGAGTAAAGACGGAGGGTCAGACTAAAAGTATATAACCTTCTAACCTAATAGGTATACCCTGAGATATTCTAGGATGTCTTCTTCCCTCTCCTGCCCAGCTCTGTATTGCACAGTCTCTTAATTTGGAATCTCTCTGGAATACCCTACCTCCTCCTTGGGAAACCATAGTGCTCTTGCCAGAATCCCCCTCCCCCCCACATTCCCTTTCCAGGTGCACATACCATCACATTTGCTCAAGTTTCAGAAAACCCTCCATCTCCATTGCCTTCCTCCTGCATCCCCCCCCTCCCCGCACTTGCACATTTTTTTGCAGTCCTTCCTGCCCCATCGTACA